GCGCCGCGTGTGTGAGCGCGCACGTACGGGTTGGTGTGTGCAGGGGCACTGCGGGGAGCCCCCAGGGCTGGAGGCGGGTTAAAAACCTAGGGCGGCTCTGGGGCGGGCCCTCACATCATCGGGTTGTTTAAGAGTAAATATCTCTAAAGTTCGGGAGGCCATGTGCAAGTGAGGACAGCACCGAGCTTTACAGTGCCTTGGAAATGCTTTAGCAGGAGACAGGGTGTTGTTTGTGTGCTCAGTATTTCAGAGAAAGGCCTAAAGCAGCATGGGTAAAGACTGTTGCTTGAATCCATGAGCGCTGGCTAATGCTACTGCGGCAATTTCCATGTTTTAGGTTTTGTTTTGGCGTGGCTGCCCCTGAGGAAGGCGCAGGCGGCCATGGCGAGTCTCAGCGCGGGAGCAGAGCGGCGCTCTGTCTTGCCTCCCATCGTTCTTGAGAAAGACAGGAGATTTCTGGAGAGTGTAGAAAGATACATATTGACTGAAACGGAGAAAGTGCGTGGTTCGGAGCGAGGGCCCCCCGAGGAGCACTACATTATATACAGAAATGCATTTGACAAGGTAACGATGTTCCCCAGGTAAATGAGCAGTGGGCAAGGCTGACAAACAAGGGGTGTTTTGGTGCTTTGTCCTCTGGAAAGAAAACCGTCTCCCCTGTGCCAACATGAACTGCAGTCTGCTTGGGCCGAAAGGCTGTTGGTGAAGCTTCAGAAGAACTCCTGCCCTTGCCTCTCTGGTTCTTGGCCTTTTTCAGCTACAGGGATGGGAGAGGCCAAGGAGAGATGGGGAACAAAAAACGGGGGTGGTGGTGAGGGAGATTCCTGCATGGCTAATGTTCCAGATGGCCAGGAATAAGGGCTGCTAGCTTTGCTTTTAAATACTGAGCTGACTGTTGTTTTATGCCATTAAAATGCACAGCACTTGCCGCTTTGGTTTTCCAGACCTGTGCATGTTATGGAGAGTTAGTGCGTGTTTGGAGAAAGTATCTTCTGGTACATGGAAATGGTGCCTGCAGCTGTCTAAGTAAATGATGTTTGCCTCAGTTTTATTAACATATATGGTTAATGAAGGAAGCTTGGAGCCTGCCTTTCAACATGTAAAGCTTTTTTCTTGCATTTTTATCAATGTAAACAGTATTATTTGTTTTGGGGACTTATTTTTTGTTAGAACGGCACAATGGAGCTTGATCTAAGAAATACTATTTTTTTCCTAGTTATTTTACTGTAAATCTCTCATGCTGGCTGGACAATTCCAGAAATCTTTCTTGTTTTTTGTTTTTTTTTTTCTCCTTGTTAATCATCTCATATAAATATTGCATACATTTACAGGTAATAGAGTACGTTACTGCCTACAAGAACGTGCTGATTTCAATCAAGCAGGGATATGAGGGTTTTATTGCCGCCGTCAAGAACGGCCAAAAGAGCGCGTTTTTCCTTCATGGGAGATTAAAAGTTCTGGCCTCGGAGCCTACAACTCTGCTGTACTACAGGAAGAGAGCAATGGAGCTGGAAGAAAAGTAAGTTGTTTCCAATAATGTCTAGAGTGAGAGATATTGTTGTGTTATAGAGCTGTATTTATGTGATAGGCTTCTCAAAAGAGACAGTTACTTTGCCATGTGCAGTTTCGAACAATAATGTTGCCAAGTTGGGGACAGGCTTTACTGAGCTCAGTAGGCTGGGCAAGCCCAGTTCAACAGTTTATCATCCCAATGTTCTTGCAGTCTGATGTGTAAAAAGGGAAGATGGAAAAAAATCACCAGAAACTGTTTCCTTTTTCAGGATACATGCTATAGAGAAGAGTTCTGCAAAAATTCAAAATTTGATACTGAGAATAAAAAGCGTGAAAAAGCCACCACCTAAAGATACACAAGGGAAAACAGTGGATTCCTCCAAGCCCATCCCAGGTAAATCTCATATCCTGAGAATCTTAAAGGAGGAGTGGAGGGGAAATATGAATATGAATTAAGGGCCCCATGAAAGATTCGGAGAATTACAGACCTGTAAAACTAAGGTCCATACCAAGCAAACCAAGTAAAATGTGGAGAAATACAGAATAAGTAGATGCCCAGATAAATATGATGTGTTTGCAAAGAGTAAACATGCCCTTTGGTAAGGGAAGCTCTGCTTTGCTGGTCCGTAAGAGTCCTTTCAAAAGATAGGATTATTGAAGAGATCCAATCTTCTGGAATTTTCAAAAGGCTTCAGGAGTGTCTTTGAAGGAGATTAGGCAGTCATAGGGTAAGAGGGAAAGTCTTTGCTTGGATAAATAAGTATTTAAAAGATATGAAATGGGAAGTATGAGTAAGAGGTTGTGTTTTGTAATGGAGGCAGGGGATCTATACTGTTTAGCCCATAAATGGCCTAGAAAAGTATATTGTTTTGCTGATGGTACTGAGGCCCTCGGGATGGCGAGGATGAGAGCCAAATGTGAAGAAATGTAGGAGAACCTCATGAGACCTAATCAGCTCAACACTCAGCAGCAGTCAGAAAAGACAAAAGGAAGCGTTAGGAAAGAAGTGGAGGACAAAATACAGAGGTCGGATGATAAATCTTGCATCTTGCGACTTGAGGTGGTCCAAAGGGATATGGTAGAATTGTACCTCAAAAGCACGGCCTGGAAGAGGCTTGGAGCAGTTGGGAGTTTGTGAAAGGCATTTTCCTCCCCTGCAGGTCTCAGTTTAGAAGAATCGCTCAACTTGGATTCTCTTTCTAAATACCTTGCTCAGCTAGACAGAAAGGTGCTAGAATTGAAAAAAGAAAGAGAAATAAAATATGTCCCTTGGAAGAACAAGATTGAATTAGAACAAGAACTCCTGCACCTAATGACCTTACGAGATACAGCTGAAGCAAAGAGAGAAAAGCTGAAGCTCAGGTACAAGTGCTTTTCTGCAATATATTCTCATATATATGTATATTTACTTTAGATGTGTTCCCAAGGTTTTTTGCCTTGTGTGTTAAACTGAGTTCATAAATCAATTTTTAATATAGATATCCTTGATACTGTTATATAACTATTTCTTGATTGATGTAACTGTACTGATCACATATCTGTTTTCCTCTTTAATTATCCATAGATATACCAGAATATTGTTAGTTTCAAATGTTATTTCTGCTTGTGAAAAATCAGCCAAGACTGTCACCCTGCAACATCTGCTCTCTCAGATCATGGAAAATAAAAAAGATGAAAGAGGTAAAATCATTAGAAATTGAATGACAGTATGAGTCTACATAATCAGCTGTAAGGGGCAGAAGTTTGGTCTTTAGTTTATTTCTGCCTCTGGCCACTTTGAGGGCACCAGGGGTAAAATTGTCTTAAATTTCAATTGATGTGGTGAAAGGTGCATCCTTCCCTTCCCTCTTCTCTTTATGTTTGGTAGTGATTTTAGCTCTGATTAGCTTATTGAGGTAATAACGTGGTTATCCCACTGTGTTTTGTATTTCAGCTATTGGTGTCCTTAGTAAAGTGGCTGAAGATTTGCTTGAATACTTTGACAGGTAAAAAGAACATCGTTGTTTTCCGCTCTCTATTAGCAATTTACAACATTACAGTTAATGTAGCATATTGAATGCAGTCATTCCAGGGCACAGGCTTTTCTGCTTTTTGTGACCCTTTTTACAGATTGATACTTGGAGTAAAATCCAAGAAATGCAGACAGAAAGTCTGGCCATTGGGTGACGCAGGCAATATCGACATACCAGGGTGATGACATTTAATGGCTGCTATCACTGTTATTTGTGCCTTCTGTTTTACTTCCCTATCCTCAGCCAACACCATTTCTTTCACCATCATCTATTTCTTTTCTTCTTCTAAATCCCTTCTGTGGCTCTCTTTTTGGTAACTCCCTTCCAGTTCTCACTGTGGACACCATCCAAAATGCTACTAGGCAGTGAGGCAGAAGAAAGGTAACCAGATGTGTGGGGAACAAGGTTGCTACTTCTTACAGAGCGTTAAATAGGTACATTTAAATCTGGTACATCTTTAGCACAGCATTTTGCAGCATTTTTTAGTGTTTGAGCTTCTTAATTAGTTCACTGTCTATCCCATCAGCCAACCTTTTTACGCATACCATGTATATATATTTACTTTTGAATTATTCCTGTAATTATTTTTAATCCTTTCTAGGTTCAGTGAATTACTCCCAAGTGCTGAGTATGATCCTAAAGTAGTTTCTGCAGCAAAGTCATCTAGAGGAATTCTCCTTAATGAAGAAACTCTGAAGAAACTCGAATGTGGGAATTGCTACTGGGAATGCTAATGGGAAATACATGGGTTGCTATTAGAGGACAAACCAATTTAGCTGGTATCAATGTAGTCATTTCAGTGGTCGGGAATTTGGTCTTCCTTTAGCAAATGAGAATTGTTTGTGCGGGCTTGAAGTTTACACTTTCGGCATTTTAGCTGAAAATAAGTAAAGTTGTGAGGCTGTCCTTTTTCTTAGGGAATGTCCTTACCATTTGACAAAGAGGTGAAAAGTAGGGGAGAGAGAGAGAGAGCCAGCTCTCACCTGTTGCTGTGGTACTGGGGCAGGCCATGGGTTAAGGGCAAGACTGGAACGTAAACACTAGTGTGCAGCTTTCAGAACTGATTTGGCTAATGAAAATATGACCAGCTCTTAGACTTCCTTATGGTACAATCAGAACCTTTCCAATCCTTTTGGGAGTCTGGGCTTGCAGAAGTATAAATTCCCGTTACTCTCTCTGTCTAGTGCAGGTCAGATGTAATCAGTATAGGGCTGCTCCTACAGTTGTTCTAAAACCTGATTTATTTCTACTGATAAGATATGCACTATAACGAGGACAAAAGTGCACCCACTATTTGAAAATTCCAGTCCTTACTATCCTGTGTGTAAACACAGCTTCCTAGAACAGCCTAGCTTCTTGAATCATAAAGCAGTGTTAGCTTCATTAAAATTAATCAGCTTCATCAAAATTAGTTTATAGACTGAAAATTGATATAAATTTCAGAAATAATAATCAGGATTTTTAAGTATCCCTGATAAGTACAAAGTCATCTTTTATTGGTTTTGTCCTTCTGTCAGTGTTTTGAGTGCATTTGGAAACATAAAATTCAGTGATATTGGAGATGACAGATGCTGAAGCAGCTGAATGTTTATCCTTTGGGAATGAGCCAAAGGGACACTGCTAAACTTTGCAAGATAAACTTTGTTTTTTTCTGTGCATATTTTATTGACTTTTATTCAAATTTAAAGGCAATAACAGAGAAGCATTGTGACAAGTTAATATTTCAAATCAGAGTTACAAGTCAGATTATGAATCTGTAGCAAGTTGTGATCTGACAAAATGCACTTATGTGCTTAGCGTCAAGGAAATGAGAGTCTTAGTGATTTCAGTGGCACCTGTAACTTATGCTATTGTAACCCTAAAAGTAAGCAAACGCATTACATTTTTGTAGAATTGGAGCATTACGTTGTAAATGCTTTGGATCACAGCCTATATCTCGGTAGAACGGGATGTGACCGTAATTAGTGCAATTACAGTAGAAAATGTAGCAATTAAATCGCAAAAAACAAGGGCACTCTAAGTTAAACTAATCCTTATTAATAACTGACATCAATAATAAATGATAAGATAGAGCTGACGTTATTTTCTGATTGTTTACAGAGAGCTTTTTGTAACTTTAACAGGAGGTGTTTTATTTCCAAAGAAAGAGATATTTAGACCTTCCTAGTATAATTCTCTACATTCTCACTAGAAAAAAAAATGTTTAAATTTTTTTTTCTTAAAACTCCATGTGTGCATAGAGATGCACACATCTCTGAGATTTTCCTATTACTTGTCAGGGATAGAGTATTGTAATGAACCCTCTGCCCTGTTTGGAACAATCTTAATTTGGAGTGATTAACATAACCCCTGAGATGGCTCAGCCTCGCAACAGATTTAGTAAGAATATTCTCAAAGGCTTTAATGGGTATCCGCAAACAAAGACAAGAACTTAAGAAGTCTTAAAGTGATAAAAGCCACTTTTTTTTTTCCCCTGTGAATGACTTCTCTCTTTTATCTCTCTAGCTGTTGGTTGTCTTCAAGAAAGAAATAACCTTTTAATTAAGTATTTTGAGGCTCTCATAAATTCAACAACTGCCGCTGGATTGCCTCAGATTTCAGCCATGACTCTGGATGCAGTCAAATATGCATTGGCTGAAAAACAATTAAATATAGTTATGCACTGGGTGACCCAGGAAAGGTAGGTGACTTTTCAGCACTGATATAAAGGAGGGGATTATGTCCCTCCCAGCCCTCATCTTCAGGTAGTGATGCTTTCTTTGCCTTTTCTTCCTTTCCTTTAAATTAAAATCCCTCAAATTAAACACAGCCAGAAATATATTAATGTATTTCTCTTGATTCTGCAATTAAATTCACTATTAAATCTTAAAGTCACTATAAACATGGGCTAAATGAGCAATACCAACAACATTGTCTTCAGAATACAGCTTTGGTCACTGCCTGCCTTTGTCTCAGTATTGCAGACTCTAGTTTTCTTTAAGCTTCTTTTCTCTTGCATTGTGTTTAAAAACTATCCAAAAAGATTTTCACACCATTCCCTGGGCGAAAAAAAATTGCAGTTGGTGGAAGATTAATTTATTTCATTTGATTGTCACTGTCAATGCTAAATCTATGGTTCTGAACACAGTTTAAAATTAAAATACATTTAATCTGTAAAACCTATACCAGCCCTTGGCCTATATATTTCTATCCCTATACAAGAATAGGGATACAATCATACTTGAATTTTTAGAACTGATTCTGTTTCTACAGTTTTGTTTTTAAAGAAGCTGTCAGAGATACGTTTTTCTAATATAACGTAAATTTGCTTGAAATGGTGAAAATCCCACCTGAACAGTCTGGTATTCAAGTAGCTGTAATTGTTGTCCTTCTGCTGAAAAGAGCATTGGAAAAGAGCATCAGTATTATCAAAAGTTAGCCTGTATTTTGCTTCTAAATGTGGATTCTAAACCATCTTTCACCAGGACCGAAATACCACCTTTGTTTCAGTCCTAGCCCCTACCCTGTCCTACTCATGTGAAAGAGCTGTTACAGTGTAGCCTGTCAGTGTGCTGAACTCATCCATCGTCCTTAAGTTACACCATCGCACTGAAACATGTTAAATGAATTGTTAGTAAGGAGCAGCTTAGTTCTTTGAGCTCCCTGTCTCCAGCAATACTGAAGGCTGCAGATGTGCCTCCTGACTGCCGTGGACCACCACTGAGGGTAGCACTGAAAGAAATGTCCCGTCGTGGTCTGCTGCCTTCGCTGTGCTCCGAGCTCTCTCTCGCGCAGTTGGGAAGAGGCTACTTTCTCAGAAACAGTTGGAGCAGAAAGATGGACAGAAGTGCAGAACAGCTGAAGGGATAATAACATACTAGTAATACTGGTTTGTTTTATTACCTTGTCTTCTTCAGGTTGATGTTTTCTGAGGCGTTAGGAGATGTGCTCTATGACCATGGGAAAGTGGACCCAAGCAACCTGTCAAAATGCCTGGCTTTGGCTCAGATCGTATATGATCAGTCTGGTGTACACAGGAAAGTCGCTCTGTGCCTGTATAAGCAGGGCCAAATTTATACAGCAGTGGATTATATTCGGCAACTCGAGTATTTTTCTTTAGGTAAATACTAAGGCGTTTGTAATGGCTTTCAGGATTGTTCCACCGTGTGTTTATTTCAGATTTAACAGTAACCGTGCTTGCGTAGAGGGCATTTGAAGGCATTGAAGCTGGGTACAGATACCTAGCCTTCCTGTCATTAAGTTTAACAAGCTCCACTTAAATGTCCCTATGTATTTTATCATACTATCATACTGTTCTTAAGGATAGAAGCTGCATAGCACATGTGAAATAAGGCCTTTCTCCTGATAGGTGTGCTTGGAAATTTCCATGATTTGTCATGGACCCCAGGAGGAAGCAGCAGCTTGTAGGAGTACTCAGATCTCCAGTTCCAAAACCAGAGGTTAATCTGTCGCTCTCTAATGTGACGGTGAACTCATTAGTCAAGTCATTACTGGAAAGGAAAAAGAAGCACTTCAGTGCATCAAAATGAGCTCTTCAGGATATTGTATTACTGCAAAGTCTGCAGATACTGATAGTATTGCATTAGTCTTACTTAAGTTCAGATAACTAAATAAAGTGAAGACATTGCAGAAACAGAGCTCAGGGAAGATGACAATAAAGCGGATCATAAAATTGGAACCATGCTAGGAATTTTTGGCCTTTGTTTTCACATGGTTTCTCAACCAAGTAACATAAAAATTGACAAATGACATTGGATATGAAAGTAGTCCTTGTATTTTTCCATGTGGTATAATTTATGTCTCTGAAATACAATAAAATATCCATTTATTTTGACACCAAGGTATTACACCTTGGGTTAGGGTCTTCAGAAGAATGATATTTGTTTGACCGCATTTGTCATAGCTGAACTGTAGCAAGCCTACAATTTCAAGACCACCAAAGAGATAAAGGAATGATATTTATTTCTAAGGTTCTACCTCCTAAGTTCTCTTCCTCTTGTGAGAAAGCATTAACTCATGAACTTGGTCAGAATATAGGTTTGGGCAATCCTGGGAAGAAAGAACTTGTCCTTTTGTTGGTCTGGGATGTGCTGTCTTTGCATAAGCAGACTAACTAAAAAAAAAAAAAATCCAGTGGCTGCGTTGCAGTTTATTCCCTCATCAGTTTTGCCTTGTGTTCATTTCTATGTTCTGTTCTCTTAGGGAGCCTTCTGACTATATCCTTTTCTATACCTATTCTTACCTAGTTCAGTTAGTTTTCTATTTTATTTTCTGAACTTTCAAATAATTTTAAGGGAGGTTTTTGGTGTTTAGTTCTTTTCTAGTGTTTGTTAATTTTCTTATTTTATGAGATTTCTAAAATACTCTTTTTTTCATCAGTAAAAGAAGCTTAGTTTCTTTTTTTTTTGATCTCGCACTAGCTTTTCTACTGTTTGAGGAGAACAGAGTACAGACTTCCTTCATTTATAGTGAAGAAGGGGAGAGATAACATATGCAAATACCTAATAGTCTCGATGTCTTATTTTTAGATGATTACTTATTTCTACTGGAAAACTGTACTGCCACTGAATTAGCTTATCATCTGGGTGAAGAGTGGTTTAGAAACCCACCGCTTTCATCCTTGGGGTCTACAGTGCTAGCTCTTCTTTCAACTGATCACAGAAAGCATGGCTTCCAGCTGCTGGAGGAAATGAGCAAGAAAAGTAAGAACAGCACAGTCTGAATTGCAGGCTGTTATTGTGAAGTTTTACAAATATCATAGTTCTCAGTACAAATGGAAAATAACATCTTTGTATCAAGTGACAAAACGTAAAAAAGGAGAGATGATGGTCATTTCCTGTATTAGAAATTTTAATCCAAATCTGAGTTAACCTTATAAATTACTTTTGATGTGGTGCTCCTGGTTCATAATGGAATCTGGAGAAAAGTTTTTCCTTCACCGTGAGTCAGGTCTCACATTCTGCATCTTTTGGAGTTCCCACAGAGATGGAGGTTACTTGCATAAAACTTCAGGGTCCCTCCTGCTAGCTAAGTCCTGAAACTACCCTGCAGACAGACTAATATGTATCTGCCTGGATCTGTTTTTTAGATTTCAGCATTTTTCTTGGCTAATTGTTCTGAAAATTAGATTTTCTTTATCTAGTGAGAGTTATGTGCACCTGTTCTGCTTATTTTGTCTCACTTCAGTGAACTGCCCTTCTGAACAGATTGAGTGCAATCAGAGGTTAGGGGGGTTAGGGGCTTTAATCTTTTTCATTAAACCAAACACATTTTTTTCTTGCAGATTTTCTTTTTTTTTTTTTTCTTAGTCTTAACTCTTAGGATTTAGTCTAGCTAGAAAAACAGTGACTTATACCCTGTACTTAATATGAATAGTAAAAATGCTGATCAGGCCAAAAGCTTGATGCTATTATGTTTGTTCTCTCAGATACGTTGGAGCAGATGATTCTAAATGATACAGTCTGTACAGTAGAAGGTTGGAAGAAGATAGCAGATTCATGTGCAGAAGATAAACACGAAGAGTTATCTCAGCAAATCATCTCAATTATCACTTCACAGGATGGAGTTTTTGAAAGTACAGCCCTTGAAGATGAGAAAGATGCTGTGCTAATGGAGCATGTTTTCTGGTAGCACTTTGTAACAACAGAGGGAGCTCTCTCAGCAGTCAAGTGAAGAATCCTTTTAGCTCTTTGTATGAACCATAGTAAACATGAATGCTTCAGAAAGAGGTGCTGCGAATCATTTTGTGATCGAGTTATTTTGTCCCTTTTCACATATCTCTGTGTGTGTATGCATTTTGTTTAGCTGGAGGTATATTCTCAGTGTAGAAGAGAATCAGTGTAACGTGTTCTGGGATGGGCTGCTGAGGTCATGTTGCACATCTGCGCATCTGATCCACCTCTGTGCACACTCTCTGTCCTCAGCACAGTGCGGGAGGGACACAGCACACCAGCTCTAAACCTCGTGCAGTCAGGGAGTGCAGGCCGAGGGGATCGGACTGTTTTAGCTCTTCAGAGGCTGAACATGCTCTGTAACAGCACATTTGTTACTCGATTTTGTCTGGTAAATAATGAATGAAAGGATACAAAGGCCTTTGCCTTGCTTAGCCATGCTGTTTAGAGTATAAGATGGAGATGAGCTCCTGATCTCAGATATGCTATGTGTATTGTAACTTGAGTTATCATGCAGAGTAGATCAGGCTGTGGCCAGAAGGGTGAAAACAATGAATGAAAAGAAAGATTCCGTGGTATTCTGAAGCATAAGAGCTGACAGAATACAAGGACACAGTGGATATTCAACTGAGATACTTCCCAGAGTTATTTCATGATTCTGGCTCAATATTTGGAGCAGCTGAAAAATGAAACTGCTTGTTATATCTACCGATAGGCTAAAACCATAAAGTTTCACTGTTTTTCCGTTTGGCCCCTTTTATTGTGCACAAATGGTTTCTTTCCAAGGATACATGATCAAATGGCAGACCTGAGGTATGTGCTTCTTTAGTTGGAGTTTTCATTCCAGCTAGCTTTTGTGTATTAAGCATTCTTCAGAAGTTTTAGAAATAGTGCTGCATAAGAAAAACAGTACAATTCCAGAACTGAATGTTTACTTTTTGGGGTAGACAAAACTGTTCACTACAGCTTTCTCCAAAGGGCTTCAGTAACTTGCCTTGTGCACCTTATTTTCCTTCAGAAAAACTTGGTATGTTTCCCATTCCAGAGATCAATTGTTTAGCATCCTTTTGGATATAAAGGTTTAGGCCCATGTGTTTTACTCTGCAACTGAAAGAATTTTCCGTCACTTTTTCATCTTAAAAAAAAAAAAAAAATCATTAAAATTCTATCCGGTGAGATGACAGCATACTTTTAACCTAAGTTTCTCTAAAAGCCAAATTTTAGTAGTATTCAAAAAGCTAAAGTTATGTTTTAAAAAAAAAAAGTGGGAAAAAAAATGCTAGAGATATCTATTAAACCTCCGAAACTTCTTAAGAATCTTTGTCCCCAAAGTCATATATTTTTTACCTTTAATAGATATTATCTATTTTTTTCAGAGAGAAGAAATAAGAGAACTGTTTTATCTATCACCTGGCAGGTAAGAGAGACTCTGAATTACTTTGGATACTGGCAGCACCCATTCATTTTTATGTAATAATCTAACTTAAGAATTTGTAGTTTTCTCAGTGTCTGACTGATTTTTACCTGGATTTAAAAAAAAAAATCTGTATAATTGCATTCTGATTATCTCATTTCTCTATAATGTTGACACTATATTTCACCTCAAACTCTTGAGTTTTGTTCCGGAGATAACTGCATCTTTCTGCTGGGATGAAGTATTCCATGTTTTGTTATTTTGCAAATATCTGAAATATAGCTGGGCTACTCTGTCTGGAGTGGACCAGATCCAGGATTTGGCAAGAAGAAAAGTGACCTAACATCACCTTTACTTACCCTCTTCTGTCCTGCATGAATTCAAGCTGCCATACCAGCTGGTGTAGCTCATGGGGATTAAATCTGAAATTTAAATTTTACTTTTTTTTAGTGGAAATCAACCTGTCTGTTTTTCATTGTTATATCACAAATTTGGTAGTTTGCTTAAAAACAGATGTGTCATTAGGTATTTCTGCTTATGAAAAATGTCGTTCTAAATGAATCCAAGAAGTGGAATTGGTTCCACTTTTTGCTTTTTGTTCATGGTGGCTGTAAGTCAAATGAGTATATTACTGTCTGCCCTAAGACAGTCTGACACCTTTAACTGACATGGTGACCGACAGATCCCAGGATAGTCTTAATTTTTCTAATATGACTCTGAAAGGAATTAAGTGAGCATTATCAGGAACCTGAAATTTACTGTATATAGGAAGTACAAATGAAGAATATTGAAGAGTACTGTCTTATGGAAATGAAGACTTGACTACTGGGAGATTGAGTTTGGTGCCTTCTTGATACATCAAGAAATATCTGTTATAAATCAGTGCTCCTCTCCTGAAGCTTTGGTTGTCTGGTAAGCCTGTTGAGGATAATCTCTTCCTTTTTAGCATGTATTTTTAAGGCTTTGTGTCATATACAGCAAATGGTGATGATGATTTCACAATATAGAGTAATTTAAACACATATTTTCAGGAAATAGTTTTCTACCAAATTTTCAAATGAGAATTGGCCTAATTGGGCAGTTTGAGTAATGCCTTCAGAACGTTTCCCAGCCCTCCTGTCTTGACTGCTAGCAGATGTCATAATTCAGGCTATTGCAGTTGGGCAGTATATAGCTAGTTGTTGGTTTAAATCTCTCTCTTGAAAATACAGTGAAAGCCTGAGAGCTGATAAATTGTCTCTAAATCAAAATTACTGCAATTTCCTAGTGTTTGTTACTGGGACTGAAGCAAAATAAAATGGCCACCTTTTCCATGCATTTTTCTGTGCGCAGAATGCGGTTCCAAAATACCTGCCAGTTTGCAGCCCGTCAGCAGGACCGTGCTCCGGTTCCGGGGTGGTGTGGACGCTGGGAAGCAGCCGAGGCCCCTGAACGGGAACCCAGGGGCTGGGTGTGAAGCGGTGGGGAGGGAGCGGGAAGGGGACTAGAGGGTGGCTGTGCAGGGGGTGTCTGCTCCGAGCAGCCTGGGGAAGGGCGCTGTCCTGCTGATGTGCTGAGGCGGGTTACAATCCTTGGAAACTTGCGCTTGATTTGAAGAAGAGTCACAAACCAAAATACAAACGTTATCTTCTTCGAAGTGTTGGATGGCCTTGGAATTTCTGTGAGGGCGAGGTTGGCACTGCTATGCTTTTCTGCTGGTATCTGGCCTTGAGAATTGCCAACAGAGAAGTGTTTGTATAGTGCTGGCTATGAGATGTTGCATTCCTCAGTTATTCGGATCCCACTATGACCAAGTGGCTCCCTCTTTTTCTATCCACTGTGTAAAGAGCAAAATGAATGTCAATAACTAGAAATCTGTTCATGTTGGCTTTAGCTGGAATGAGCAGTGCCATGTTTCTGGCCTTTCCTTTGGCTGTTTTTTTTTTTTTTTTTTTTTTTTGTGTACCCTGGAACAAGCAGGTTGGTCTAGATTTTCTTATGCTAGGCGTGTATATGGTAGTTTGCTTCAAAACCGATAAGCAATTTCATTGGGGCTTATAAAAATGCTAATACAATGCAATTTGGTTGTATTTCGCTCCTTTACAAGATGGTCTTTTCTAGGAGTACTCCAGCAAGCGTCACTGAGAGACTGAGATGGGCACAAAGGTAGATAGCCTTTTGTGTGGTTTAGTGCTAAATCTCTGCGGAGAAGTGTGCAGGAACAGCAGGGCACAGTCTTTCACTGCCACAGGATTACTGACATTAACATGGTGACCTAATACGGTAAATGTGGTCTATTTTCATCTTGCTGTAATGCCACTGCAATCCCTGAGTCACGCCAAGGATGTTTGGCCTTGCGCCCTTTCCTCTTCTAGAGCCTCCCCTCTTTCTGGGGGCTGTACACGAACTGCCCCAGCTGCATCACTGCCGAAGCCCTTAGTCAGAAACAGCCTTTGAAGAGGCATCGCTAACTACACCTGGCCCCTGAACTGGGAGTTCCCAAGCACAGTTATTTATATCTTAGGTGAGTTATGTTGTTTTGGCAGGTAGTTTTGAAACTCTCAGATACATTAAGAAATCCTTAATCTGAATGAGTTGATGAAATCTGCTGTCTATTCACAGGGCTCCAGACTTCATTAGTTAAAGCTTCACACTAAATTGAGTAGGATGTTGATGCCTGACTGATGTGTTCTGCTCCAGTGGTACTCACCCTGCTTGTACTTCTAGATAGCTTCGAGTGCAAGTAAGTGAAGATTAAGAAACATAACAAACAAAAACGATTTAGTATTTTTCTGAGCTTTTGTAGTCAGCTTCAGTCAAGCTTGAACTCCAGTTGTTTACAATTCAATGCTCAACAGAAATAAACATAGACAAAAAACTAAATAAAAGAAATGCTATAAATACAGTGTAGGAGACAGACTTAGAAAGCATGCAGCTGCTGAAGACAGATTTGATAAACTGGAATAAGCTCATTTGAATGAGACTTGCATTGATAGTAAATGTAAAAGATCAAATCACTTCTAAGCACCTCTGTTCCTGAGCTCTCTAAAGTGTCAATGCAGAAGGCTCCATGCTCTGTGTTCATAGTAGTACTTAGCTCAGAGGCAGGAACAAACGCACAGTTGACCGTCCTGTAATCAGCAGGGCAACAAGTGGTCAGTTCAATCCTTCTCCTCATAAACTCTCTTGGGGAAAGCGGCAGGGGGGAGACCACTAGAGTTCCTGTGCTGTAGGAAGACAGAATGTTGTGAGCAGAATGCTATTTTTCTAAAAGGCCTTTTTTTTTTTTTCTCCATAAAACAGTGTTAGAAAAGAAATCTCTGTGGATATCTTGAAAATATTTTTTTTTACATATATTGCAGTAGCCCTGAGTGGTGCCTCTTATTACTACAGTCTCATTTTTTTCAGATATTGTGTAAATCCCAGGAGACAGACAGTTGAGATAAAAAAGAAAGCAAAGCACTAACAGTCAGACATATCTGGAAAGGTCATTGCTAGATGGTTTGGTTCTGATTGCTTTTCTGACACAACAAACACACCAAAAAGATCAAGAGAAAAAGACATCG